CAGTTTTAGTATGCGACAAATTTACTTGAGCGCTTGTAGCACGAACACTTGTAGAATGAACAAATTTAGTATGCGACAAATTTACTTGAGCACTTGTAGCATGAACAAATTTAGTATGAACAAATTTAGTATGAACAATTTTAGTATGCAACAAATTTACTTGAGCACTTGTAGCATGAACAATTTTAGTATGAACAATTTTAGTATGAACAGTTTTGGTATGAACAAATTTAGTATGAACAGTTTTAGCATGAACAATTTTAGTATGCGACAAATTTACTTGAGCACTTGTAGCATGAACAATTTTAGTATGAACAAATTTAGTATGAACAAATTTAGTATGAACAGTTTTAGCATGAACAATTTTGGTATGAACAAATTTAGTATGAACAGTTTTAGTATGAACAATTTTAGTATGCGACAAATTTACTTGAGCACTTGTAGCATGAACAAATTTACTTGAGCACTTGTAGCATGAACAATTTATGAACAAATTTAGTATGAACAATTTTAGTATGAACAATTTTAGTATGAACAAATTTAGTATGAACAAATTTAGTATGAACAATTTTAGTATGAACAGTTTTAGTATGAACAATTTTAGTATGCGACAAATTTACTTGAGCAATTTTAGTATGAACAGTTTTAGTATGAACAATTTTAGTATGGGACAAATTTACTTGAGCACTTGTAGCATGAACAAATTTAGTATAAACAATTTTAGTATGAACAGTTTTGGTATGAACAAATTTAGTATGAACAGTTTTGGTATGAACAAATTTAGTTTTGAACAAATTTAGTATGAACAGTTTTAGCATGAACGATTTTAGTATGCGACAAATTTACTTGAGCACTTGTAGCATGAACAATTTTAGTATGAACTGTTTCAATATGAACAATTTTAGTATGCGACAAATTTACTTGAGCACTTGTAGCATGAACTGTTTCAGTATGAACAATTTTAGTATGCGACAAATTTACTTGAGCACTTGTAGCATGAACTGTTTCAGTATGAACAATTTTAGTATGCGACAAATTTACTTGAGCACTTGTAGCATGAACAATTTTAGTATGAACAAATTTAGTATGAACAGTTTTAGTATGAACAATTTTAGTATGAACAGTTTTGGTATGAACAAATTTAGTATGAACAATTTTATTATGCGACAAATTTACTTGAGCACTTGTAGCATGAACTGTTTCAGTATGAACAATTTTAGTATGCGACAAATTTACTTGAGCACTTGTAGCATGAACTGTTTCAGTATGAACAATTTTAGTATGCGACAAATTTACTTGAGCACTTGTAGCATGAACTGTTTCAGTATGAACAATTTTAGTATGCGACAAATTTACTTGAGCACTTGTAGCATGAACAATTTTAGTATGAACAAATTTAGTATGAACAGTTTTAGTATGAACAATTTTAGTATGAACAGTTTTGGTATGAACAAATTTAGTATGAACAATTTTAGTATGCGACAAATTTACTTGAGCATTTGTAGCATGAACAAATTTAGTATGAACGATTTTAGTATGAACTGTTTCAGTATGAACAATTTTAGTATGAACAGTTTTGGTATGAACAGTTTTAGTATGAACAAATTTAGTATGAACAGTTTTGGTATGAACAGTTTTAGTATGAACAAATTTAGTATGAACAGTTTTAGTATGAACAAATTTACTTGAGCACTTGTAGCATGAACAAATTTAGTGTGAACAAATTTAGTATGAACAATTTTAGTATGCGACAAATTTACTTGAGCACTTGTAGCATGAACAAATTTAGTGTGAACAAATTTAGTATGAACAATTTTAGTATGCGACAAATTTAGTGTGAACAAATTTAGTATGCGACAAATTTACTTGAACACTTGTGACATACTTTACATAAATCAGTCTTGCCTAAAACAAATTTACCCGAGTCGGTTTAACTTGGAACATATTTAACTTGGAGCATATTTAACTTGGAACATATTTAACCTGAGGCATACTTTACATAAATCAGTCTTGCCTAAAACAAATTTACTTGAGTCAGTTTAACTTGGAACATATTTAACTTGAAGCATACTTTACATAAATCAGTCTTGCTTAAAACAAATTAACTTGAATCAAATTATCATGAGTCAGTTTTACTTGGATCAGTTTAACTTGAAACATATTTTACTTGAGTCGGTTTAACTTGGAACATATTTAACTTGAAGCACACTTTACGTAAATCAGTCTTGCCTAAAACAAATTTACTTGAGTCGGTTTTACTTGAACTGGTTTAACTTGAAACATATTTTACCCGAGGCATACTTTACATAAATCAATAAATCAGTCTTGCCTAAAACAAATTTACTAGAGTCAGTTTAACCTGAATCGATTTAACTTGAAATATATTTAACTTGAAACATATTTAACTTGAAGCTACTTTACATAAATCAGTCTTTCTTAAAACATTTTTACTTGAGTCGGTTTAACTTGAAACATATTTTACATGAAGCGTACTTTACATAAATCAGTCTTTCTTAAAACATTTTCACTTGAGTCAGTTTAACTTGAAACATATTTTACATGAAGCGTACTTTACATAAATCAGTCTTGCCTAAAACAGTTTTACTTGAGTCGGTTTAACTTGAAACAATCCTACTCGGACCAGTTTAATTTAAATAGTTTTACTTGAATAGGTTCTATTTGAAACAGTCTTATTTTGTTCACACTAAAATTGTTCATACTAAATTGGTCATGCTACAAGTGCTCAAGTAAATTTGTCGCATACTAAAACCGTTTCTAAAAATGTCGCAAACTTGGACTATTACAAACAAAATGTTTCATACTAAATTTGCTCATACTAAATTTGCTCATACTAAATTTGTTCATGCCACAAGTGCCCAAGTAAATTTGTCGCATGTTAAAAATGTTCATACTAAAAGTGTTCATACTAAAAGTGTTCATACTAAAAGTGTTTGTACTAAAATTGTTCGTACTATAATTGTTCATGTTACACATGCTAAAGTAAATTTGTCGCATACTAAAAGTGTTTGTACTAAAATTGTTCATACTAAAAGTGTTCATACTAAAAGTGTTCATACTAAAAGTGTTTGTACTAAAAATGTTCATACTAAAAGTGTTCATACTAAAAGTGTTCATACTAAAAGTGTTTGTACTAAAAATGTTCATACTAAAAGTGTTCGTACTAAAATTATTCATGTTTCATGTGCTAAAGTAAATTTGTCGCATACTAAAATTGTTCATGCCACAAGTACTCAAGTAAATTTGTCGCATACTAAATTTGTTCTCATATATAAATTGTTCATGCTACAAGTGCTCAAGTAAATTTGTCACATACTAAAATTGTTCATACTAAAATTGTTCATACTAAATTTGTTCATACCAAAACTGTTCATACTAAAATTATTCATACTAAAATTGTTTATACTAAAATTGTTCATGCTAAAACTGTTCATACTAAATTTGTTCATACCAAAACTGTTCATACTAAATTTGTTCATACCAAAACTGTTCATACTAAATTTGTTCATACTAAATTTGTTCATACTAAAATTGTTCATGCTACAAGTGCTCAAGTAAATTTGTCGCATACTAAAATCGTTCATGCTAAAACTGTTCATACTAAATTTGTTCATACCAAAACTGTTCATACTAAATCTGTTCATACTAAATTTGTTCATACTAAAATTGTTCATGCTACAAGTGCTCAAGTAAATTTGTCGCATACTAAAATCGTTCATGCTAAAACTGTTCATACTAAATTTGTTCATACTAAATTTGTTCATACTAAAATTGTTCATGCTACAAGTGCTCAAGTAAATTTGTCGCATACTAAAATCGTTCATGCTACAAGTGCTCAAGTAAATTTGTCGCATACTAAAATCGTTCATGCTAAAACTGTTCATACTAAATTTGTTCATACCAAAACTGTTCATACTAAAATTGTTCATACTAAAATTGTTTATGGTAAAACTGTTCATACTAAACCTGTTCATACTAAATTTGTTCATACTAAAATTGTTCATGCTACAAACGCTCAAGTAAATTTGTCGCATGCTAAAATTGTTCATACTAAAATAGTTCATGCCACAAACGCTCAAGTAAATTTGTCGCATGCTAAAATTGTTCATACTAATTTTGTTCATACTAAAATTGTTCGTACTAATTTTGTTCATACTATAATTGCTCATACTAATTTTGTTCATACTAAATTTATCACATGCCACAAATGTTCAAGTAAATTTGTCGCATTTTTGTTTCATGCTACGAGCGTCAAAGTAAATTTGCCACATATTAAACTTGTTTCACACTAAATTTGTTTCACACTAAACTTGTTGCACACTAAATTTGTTACATGCTAAATTTATCTCATATTAAACTTGTTTCATATTAATAATGTCTCATGCTAAAATTGTTCAAGTTATTTTGTTACATACTTAACATGTTTTGAGTGAAATTGTTACATATTGATTTAATATAATAAAAACGGTTCAAACTAAAACCATTACATGGGGTAGAAGATTAATAAAAAGTAAACATGGTTAATTAGTCACATCAATTATTTTACCGATTTATAATCTTTATGTTTTTGGCAAATTATGTTGACCTAATTTTTAATATTAATTAATACAAAAACGTAAATAATTTAAAAATATTATTTCTCGTAAAATTGCGTTGATACGACAAAAAATAAAATTATCTAAAATCATAAAAAGTCATTTTATTTTAGATATATTAAATAAAAAAGGGCATTTATTGATGTCTTGGTCATTTGCCCCTAATAAATTATCTAATCTGCAACGAGTAAAGTAAAACCGGCGTTATAAATCTTTAAAAGTTATTACGTTACAAAGAAAAAAATGTCGTATTTAACACACCTCATGTTATATTTAACAGAAAGGTCTTAAATCCAGTTAACTGATAATATAATAAAAATCACCTGTTAATTGTGTGACATGAGTAATCCACATTCGCTTTTTAAAAATTTTTTGATGGTTTTTATTTTACAGTCGTTTTAACGCATCGTATAGAGTTTGTTTTGTCATTTTTCCTGTATTTACAATTCCCGCTAATTGTGCCATTTTAATTAGATCGTCTTTTGTATAACTTCCCATTGATTTTAACTTTTTTTGTGAACTCTCAGCAGTTACAATTGAAATATCGTCTTTATTTTGTTTGCTGCTTCCGGTTTTAGCGACCATATTAATACCCTTAGTTAATGAGCCAATAGTGATGTCATTAGACACATTACTGTTATCATCATCGCTTTGCATTGATGCTTGAAGTTTTTTTAGTTTTTGAAGTTTTTTGCTGATTTTATCGGTTTTCGACAATGTCTGTTTTATATTGACATCGTTGTCGCCTATTTTTATTGGATTTAACTCGTTGTTTATTGATTTGTCATTTTTAGGATTATTGTCTTTAGAACCAGTATTATCAAATTCGTCGTTTTCAGAACCACTATCTTCAGACTCATTTTCTTCAGAATCATTTTCTTCAGAACCATTATCTTCGGATTCATTTTCTTCGGAACCATTATCCTCGGAACCACTATTAGTGTTGTTTTCAATTTTGTTTTCTTCGTTTTTATTATTTAGGCCCTTGGTATCATCATTGTCTTTGTCATTGTCTTTATTTTTATCCGATTTTATCAGTTTATTATTATCCGATATCGCTTTATCTGATAATTTATATTGATTGTGCGCGATATTTTTTCCCTCTGTGTTTTTAGATGACTCATTGGATAACACATTGGGTGTAAAATTACTGTGGTTTTTTGAATTTACCTGAGTGTTTTTTTTTGATTTGGATTTATCATGTGTTGAGTTATCTGTGATATTCGAGTCTGATATTTTTGCGGACTGTAAAATATTGTTTTTTTCGTCCTTTGCGACAAACACTGTGTCTGCATCGGATGTTGTACTCATATAAAAACCCGAATCATTATTGTGTGTTTTAACAATATTACTGTATTGTGTTTGATTCATATCGGAAAGATACGGTATTTGTTCGTAGTTTTTGTTATTTATCATATTTTGGTCAACATAACCACCTTCAATAAAATGGTCAGATGCCATGACAGTTTGGCGTTCAACACTGTTCATTTTTCGCATTTGTTGTAACATGTCGTTTGTATATGAAATGTATTTTTCCGAATTTTTTGTCATTTCTTTTTTTAAAATGGTTTTAAGATCGTCGTTGTGTTTTTCAATTACAGAGTCTATCTCATTAATCTTTTTTTCAAATATGGTCTTTAATGAACTTATCTCGCTCATCAGCAAAAATACCACAGCCAATGCAATGATTACCGCAATGATAAATTTGACATCCATTCTTATCTTATACTATATTTTTTCAAAAACATTACTTTCTTTTAGACGTACATTATGGTTAACACAATTTAACACCAAATACATGTTTATGACAATACAAAACAAAACAAAACAAAAGGAATTGAATATTAAGAAAATGCTAACATAGTTAATATATAATATGTTGTATTAGTTATGTTTTCTTCAACTTCCGAATTGTAATTCCGACAATTTTTCAAAAAAACGTAAAATTGAAATATGATTGTTATACGACATTATCCAATTTTATAATATAATATAAAATAAACAGTAACAAATCTAATATAAAACAAATATAATGTTTTCACAAAACAATAAAAAGGAAAAGGCACAAACACCTGTTACAAATACAAATGGCGATGGTGGTATTGTTCTCGACATATCGGAAACCGTTCAGCATTGTGGTGTTTTTTACACAATTAACAACACAGATGATGAATCAAGAGAAATGTATTTGGATCGAGTTAACTACATTGTCGAGCGACATAAAAAAAATCCGAATGAATGCATCACAAAAACAATCATGTTATCTTATATTTGGAGAAATGTCAATAGACGTAACATGTCTTATCCAAAAAGTGTTTTAAAAATGTTGTAAATTATCCATATTTAATATATAAGTTCTCATTAAAACAACCATGTCAATTATATAAATTATACCCATAAAGATTTATATTATAATGGTGTTAGATTAGACGTTGCTGTTGTTTTTTAAAAAAGACATTTAGCAACGTCTAATCTAACACAAGTTAAAATCAACAACTTTTTATATAATATAAAAAGACGCCAATAATATTGGCGGTATTTAATTAAATGCAACATAATCACATATTTATCGTAATTTTTATTATAATATATAATTTAGACAGTTTTAGAGACTAATTATTTATACATTGTCAATAAATAATTAAAAAACGAAAATAAATTATCTTGTATAACAGGTTTAATTACGTGTTTTAAAGCTGTAATGTTTATTCGTAATGCAAATACACATATATCGTTTGTTTGTTCTTTAGCAAATTTTAGGGAATTAATATTTTGTTGAATCGCCAATTTACAAATATTATTTGTTTGTTTTTTTACAAATTCTAAAGCTAAACCATTTTGTTGGACTGCAAATCTGCATATATCACCTGTCTGTTTATTTACAAATTGCAAAGCAAAGGCATTACACCGAAATGCCAAAAAGCGTTTTTCGTAAGTTTGTTCCTTGACAAATTCTAAAGCACTGTACGATTGATGAATCGCTATTTCACATATTTTATCCGTTTGTTTATTGACATATTTTATCGCCAATCCGTTTTGTCGAGCAGCAATAACACATATATCCTCAGTTTGTTCTTTTACATATTTTAGTGCCATGCCATTTTGTCGAACCGCCAATTTACATATTTCATCTGTCTGTTTTGCTATATGCCCAAGTACATGCCCATTATGTCGGACATTTAATATCCAAAATTGATCCGACAAGTCTTCTTTTTTAATTACGTCAGTTCGTGTTATTTTGCCAACCTTAAAATTATTGTTTCCGACATAAACTCGGGCATCGTCCGGTATTTTGACAGTTGCAATATAATTGTAAAAGTTGTTAAAGTATCTATGACAGTCATAATCTGCGCAAACAAGATTATACGAATTATTGTGGCGCCATCCATATAGGCGCATATTGTATGGTAGGATCGAATAGCCGGCTTTTACTTTTAATTATTCCGGGTTTATCATTATCAATAAATTCATAAAGTCTGATCCCAATAAATATACCATTAAATTCAGAACCTGATATAATTTTACCGGCTTTTTGTAATTGGAGTGTTTTGTTGCAATGACACATTGTAAAAAACAAATGAAATAACTTACGTTAAATTAAATTATATTACATTACATTAAATCACATTAAATGAAATATTCTATTTATCAATTTTTATTAAACAAATAAAATAAAATAAAACAGTTGTGAAAACTTTATGGTTTTATAAAAAATGCGGCACTTATAATTAACACATGTTTTACATCACATTACATTACATTATTGAGGATCATATTATTTTTTCTTTTAATAATCGCAAATATTCTAATAATACAATACAGTTACAATTATAACATGTTTACCACATCAGTAACCGTGTTATTTTTTTAAAATTAACGTGCCAATAAAACTATTGATATAACATAATATTAGACTTTTGAATTCAGTTCGTTTGTAATAAATGCCGTATTAATTGAGTCAGGTGGTGTTATTTTTTGAGTTTCATGCCAATCTTTTAAATCCATTGTCATCGTGTCAAGATAAACGGGTTGAACAGGATGATTAGAAGAACTTACGCAAACTGGTGGGTAAGGTGGTAAAGGATACCAGTCTTTTGGCGGCAAAAATGAATATCCATATTCAAAGTCTTTGTCATTAAAACTTGGAGGAAGTCTGTTAAAATCAGAATATATCATTTCATTTACAAGAATGTCATTTCTTGTGCGATTACCACTGACTGCTATCTGGTCTAAGTTTTCCGCACCAGCGTAACTTCTTGGATTAAATGCCTGTTCATACCATTTCATTGGTTTACCTGATGGCGATGTTTTTGTGTAGGGTTCTGCATCATCATTAAAAGCATTGTTATTGTCAACAATATTGTCAACAACACCATCTGGACGAATAATTTTACTCGGTTTTGGCAACAAGTCTATTTTATTATTGTTTTTATTTTTATTTTCAGACTGTGAAACATTATTATTTACATCAATATTACCACATGTGTTGATTTTAACAGGTTGTGTATTTAATTGTGGTTTTGCGATACCGGGATTTTCCGAATTATTTGACATAACATTATGTGGTCCCGTGCCTATAAAAGAACCGTGGTTTAATCGACAGTACTCACTGATCTTATTTTTTGGCGAATTGTTATTAGTATTGGTCGCATGTGTGTTATCATTATAGTACTGGTATTTATCTCCAATATACTGTGAACTCGTTGCGGGCATAGATGATGGTATTAATGCGGAACTTTGTGCGATTTTATCAGATATGTTATTAGATAATTCCGGGTTGTTAGACAAACCAAGTAGACTATTAAAACTATTTGAATCATTGGAACTGTTGGAACTATTTGAGTCATTGGAACTGTTGGAACTATTTGAATCATTGGAACTGTTGGAACTATTTGAATCATTGGAACTATTGGAACTATTTGAATCATTGGAACTATTGGAACTATTTGAATCATTGGAACTATTGGAACTATTTGAATCATTGGAACTATCGCTCCTTGTGTCATTGTTCATAGTTTCGGTTATTTTTACGGTGTTTGTGTTTTTAATGGTTTTATCGTCAACAATCGAGTCCATTTTACTAGAAACAATGATATTGCCGTTAGTTTTAAATCCGTTAGCTGTTGTAAGATTATTTATTTCGGCTATATCGTGTTTTCCATTTATCGGGCTAAATTTTTCCCCGTTATTCATAAAGTACATTGTTTCAAGGACGCATGCCAGTAGAGTTAAAACCGATGTTATCAATGCAACGTCGAGCTCTGACAGATTATCAAACGTGACCGTCGTGTATCTAATTACGACATAGATAACTACCCATAAAATTATGTATTTTAGACCTTTATATGCTGTACTAATGTCCATGAAAATATACTAATCAAACAGAAATTATATTATGTGTGTTGCTTAGATTTAATATGTTATTCACATACTTCAGTATTAAATAAAAATGTCGCAGATTTTCCCAATGCTATTGTTGTCGAGATAAATAATGCAAGTAGTGTGTTGAGAGTAATATATTTATCGTCAATAACATTTATTAACCATTTGTTCGTTTCAGGCATAAATCTCATATCAAAAAACATAGTGTGACCTACAAAAGCAAGAACGCCAATAATAATCCCAGTACTAATAGAATTCCACATCTTGATTGGGAATTGATGTCTTACAGATTTTATGACGCTTAATGTTGTTGCAAACAGGATTACTGCCATAAATATAAACAATTTTTGCGTAAGAATATTTGTTGTGGTGATATTTATAAGTTCAAAATGTAGAAGCACAAACACAAAAATAAATATAAACACAAAGTCTGTAAAAATGTCCGTAAAAACGTTCATTCAAGAGTTATTTATAACACTAATCGATTTTATTTATATTCGCTATTTATGTAAAACTGACAATTAACATTAATAACAAACTTTGTTTTGTGTGTTGGCTATTACACCTTTTTGCACTTGCGCTAAAGAAAAAGAACAGAGTGCCTAACAGTAAAACAATATTTGCAGCCATAAAACATAAGATATGGGCTCGGTGACATTTGATGCCATTGTTTGTTGTCATTGTTTGTTGTCATTGTTGACAGAATTTATCAAAATAATTTGTTTAACAAAACCATAATTTACATGTTCTGTAACGGGCAAACCTTGAAGTTTTTTTAGTAACCACTCAACCCCACTAAAATTTTCGATTTAATTGTACCCACAAATACCCCTCATTTTTTATCTTTGTCGTTTTAAAAAATCGTGTTAAAATGACAAAAAGGATAAATGCCAACAAAATACATAAAATAAAACACATTCAAATCGAAATTTTAGCAAAATGAATGTAAATTAAATAAAAAAGGGCATATATTGACAATATAATTTGCCACCCCAGTATTGTGATTTAAAAATTTGAAAAATATTAGGATTTCGATACCCTTTTTATCATCAACTAAAAACAACTAGCTCTTTTAGAGACGAAACTAACAACGCAATATGTCTATTGAAAAAATTGACGAAATTAAATTTGCGCTCACAGAGCTCATTTCAAAATATAAGGAATATAACAGCAAAATTGGTAAATTAGGGGATTACGCTATTTATCATGAAAACATTTTAGGCGCCATAAAAAAATGCGATGAGGCAATACAAATGCTCGACGGGATTAAAAACAAATGTCCTGCCCGCAAAAATGAATTACAATATTTAAATAGTGTAATGCTGGAAATAGATGATCTTGTGCCTAGAACAAGAATGTATTTTTTGATGAATCGTAAATACAAGTTAAGTTTATATAACAGAAATTTTGTTGTAAGTTTGGTATTTTTATCTGAAAACGTTGTTACTAATGCGACCAAAGAGTTTATTTCTAATGTTGAGCAACATATCTTAAATTTAAAAGCCCGGGACCGGGACCCGCGAGTGCTTAATTTAATATGGGGTGATATTGATAAGTTTGTTTCATATGCTAAACAAAAGTTAGATAATAACACCGCTTTGTACAAAAACATTGATGATGCCATTTCAATAATTAAGTCCAAATCTTTATTATTAAATATGGATTTTTGTGAATGCCTCCTTGAACTCGTTACACTATTTAAAATGACTTCAAAGGTTGTAAATAAATACAAAGAGTCACATGAATTAATTAAGAGTCTAATATCAAGAAATTGTAATTATGATTAACCAAATGTATCGGTTATATTTTCATTTCTTTTTTTTTATTTTTGTGTCATTGGATTTGGTTTGATCCGATTTTTATTAATGCATTTTATCTTTTTGCCATAATTTGCTACCCCCGTATTGTGATTTAAAAATTTGAAAAAATATTAGGATTGTGATACCCATTATTTCTTACCATTCACCAAAAACAACTGGCTATTTAACTAATAGCAAGCCGTGTGACGGAATTAACAACGCAACACGTCTCTTGAAAAAATTGACAATTTAAAAATTGCGCTCGATGAGCTCATTTCAAAATATAAAGAATATAACGCCAAAATTGACGTTATGGACGAGAATAACTTTGTTTGTCGTATGAATAATTCAAACGTCATAGACAAATGCAATGAGATGGTACAAAAACTCGACAAGATTGTGGCCGATCCTACCCGCAAAATTGATTTACATAATTTAATGCAGTTAATAAAGGAAGATGTGTTTACTACAAAATTGTTTTGGTTGATGTTTAATAAGTACAAGTTCGAGTTACGTTTACATAAGAGTGATTATGTTAAAAGTTTGATGTCTTTACCTGAAGACGTTGTTACTACTGCGACCAAAGAGTTTATTTCTAATGTTAAGCAACACATGTCAAATTTAAATGCCGGTAAACCAAACAGCGACGTGCTTAATTTAATACGGAACGATATTAATAAATTTCTTTCATATGTTAAACAAGAGTCAGCCAGTAACATTGTTTTGTGCAAAAACATTGATAATGCCGTTTCAATAATTGAGTCCAAATCTTTATTATTAACTATAGAGTTTTATGAATGCCTCGATGAACTCGTTACACTATTTAAAATGACTTCAAATGTTGTAAAAAATTATGATGAATTAATTAGGGGCTTAACAAATTGTTAATGTGATTAACCAAATGTATCGGTTATATTTTCATTTCTTTTTTTTATTTTTGTGTCATTGGATTTGGTTTGATCCGATTTTTATTAATGCATTTTATCTTTTTGCCATAATTTGCTACCCCCGTATTGTGATTTAAAAATTTGAAAAAATATTAGGAATGTGATACCCATTATTTCTTACCATTCACCAAAAACAACTGGCTGTTTAACTAATAGCAAGCCGTGTGACGGAATTAACAACGCAACATGTCTCTTGAAAAAAATGACGAATTAAAAATTGCCGAATTAAAAATTGCGCTCATTGAGCTCGTTTCAAAATATAAAGAATATAACGACAAAATTGACGTTATGGACGAAAATAACAAGATTTACGATACTTGTAAAAGAAATATTATATTCACCATAAAAAATTGCAAAAATATGGTATATAAACTCAACGATATTGTGGCCGATTATCCTACCCGCAAAAATGATTTACATGATTTAACGAGTATGATAATGTTAATAAAGTATATTATGCCTGGAACAAGATTGCATTGGTTGATGTATAATGAGTACAAGTTAGCATCATTATGTAACATCTCTTATGTTGAAAGTTTGGTATCTTTATCTGAAAACGATGTTACTGATGCGACCAAATATTTTATTTCTAACGTTAAGCAACAAATATTAATTTTAAAAACCTTGTGGACCCGGTACCCAAAAAATCAAGAAAATCAAGTGCTTGAATTAATAAGGAATGATATTGATAAGTTTGTTTCATATGCTAAACAAAAGTTAGATAATAACCCCGCTTTGTACAAAAACATTGATGATGCCGTTTCAATAATTAAGTCCAAATCTTTATTATTAAATATGGATTTTTGTGAATGCCTCCTTGAATTTGTTACACTAGTTAAAATGACTTTAAAGGTTGAAAAAAATTATAATGAATTAATTAAGGGCTTAACAAAATGTTAATGTGATTAACCAAATGTATCGGTTATATTTTCATTTCTTTTTTTTATTTTTGTGTCATTAATTTGAATTTTATTTTTTCAACAAATTGTATTGACTATAAATAGAAAAAGTACTCATAATAAACAAATAAAAAAAACAAAAACAATTAAATCGATTTTTTAACAAAATTATTGTAAATTGGCAACAAAACAGATACATAGGATTAATTTAACTATGACTGCATTTTTTTAATCCCCAACCCACTAACATAATTTATTGAAGGATTTTGATGTCAGTGTTGACAGAATTTATTAAAATAAATTTAATAAATTGGAAGATTTTGCTATTTGTGTTGACAGAATTTATTGGCATGATTTTTCGAAAGATTTTGTGTCAGTGTTAGCAAAATTACCTAAAATTATTATATTTTAGATAAATTAAATAAAAACACAAAATAATTTTATTCATAACGAGCCAGTCAATGGTTTTATGAATAAAAATGGTTAAATATGTTCCCCATTTTTTAGTAAAAACGGTGCAATAAAAGTACCAACAAAATAATAATTATCGCCAATAAAACCATAAGTGTCATCATGTGCGGAAAGTACCTATTGTTAATGTCTGACAAGATTGGTTCTACAACATTTTTCATAATTTTATCTCTATTTTTCTTTTTTTTTATTTCGTCAACAAATCCGTTAATAAGATTATCTGTCATTGGTCCTAAAAAAGAGTTTTCGTTCATCCGATGTGTTAGAATGAATTATATATTATTATGATTATATTAGGCATTTTTTAATTAACTAAACGGTTTAACAGTAACAACATATGATTATTCAGACCATATCATGAATAAACATTGTATTATAAATAAAAATCAAAATGAAAATGAAAATGAATTAAAAGACGATAATAAAATTCCCGATAATACACAATTATTAACATCGTTTATTCTTAAACAAAATAAAACAACCGGTAATTACTCTGTTCTAAGAAAAATCGTTAAAAATGGTGTAAATACATTAAAACGACTAAGATATACCATCTATTCCGCTTATTTACCTTTTGGATGTGAGACTTATAATGAGAAAAAAATTCTTAATGTGATTGTCAATGATTCAAACAACATAAATCATAATCTTATTTTTATTTTAAACAAAATATCAAATACGTTCCTTGAGATGAAAAATAACGACTCGTGTAAAAATAAATACTCTATTGGAGACAAAACATTTTACCCCTTTATTAAACATGTTAAACAGAATACTGACCGGGTCGGCAATCCGATTAATAGCACTAACCAGGCCGATAATCCGATTAATAGCACTAACCAGGCCGACAATCCGATTAATAGCACTAAAAAATACTCCGTTAGACTATACATAAAATACGGTGCAAAAATTACCCATTCAAAGTATATTGGGGAACTTTCGCCTGATCAACTAAAAAATAAAAAAAGCAATATAGATTTCGAATTCGGTTCGATGTGGGTGAATCCATCAACAATGATGTATGGTGTGAATCTTCATGTTATGCATATTACAGTACTAGATTAACAAAATTTCATCGTCATCTTTGTAGAAGTCGTCCATATTTTCATCATAATTATCCGCATAACCCTTCTTTTTTCTTGAAGGGGATATGCCGACAAGCATATCGCCCATTAATTTAATACCGTATTTGAGAAACATTATTGTTTCCGATTCGGTATTAAGATATATTACCATATCATCACATAGATTCGAACATTTGTACATACTATTTATGTATTTTAAGTCAAAAACCAAACGGATGATATCAGGTACGTCCGTTTTGTTGTCCCCCTCGACGTTATTTTTAATGGTTTTAATAACAATTCCGCCCTGAGTATCGTCAGCTTTAAAAATTCTTTTATGGTTAGACATATCGCCCTTACAAGTAATTGCCAACTGCGACGGATCACAAGTAATCTCAACAAATTGAGAAAATTGCATTAGATCTTTACATGCTTTATGAAAGGCACGACAATTAATACGAACGACCATCGTATAATTAATCTCGATCTTTCTATCGGTTCTTGAAGGAAGATTTACAACGCGAAGCTCGCATATAGACTCGTGTGCGGAGTTATCCCCTTTTACATCAAAAATAATATGCTGTGTATCGTCGGAATCAATATGAATTGACATCGTGCCTTCTTTCTCGACATTTTTTATATATTTTGACAACTCGTCAAGATTGAGTCCGACGCTGTATTTATCCGGATGTACAACAAACTTATTAAATCCCGACCCGTTAAGAACAATATAAATAATCATAACCTGATTTTGATCGGTCGTAAGTATTTTTATTTGTCCGGGATTTGCGGATTTCGCAACCGATTTTTCGTTATTTCCATCACCGTTTTCTTCGTCATTGCTATCGACATCGCTCCCATTTTCATTTTCATTGTCATTTTCATTTTCACTTTCGCTGTCTCTTTCGCTGTCTCTTTCGCCGTCGCTATAACTGTCATTGTCGCTGTCACTGTCGCTGTCACTGTCCCTTTCACTTTCACTTTCACTTTCACTTTCACTTTCACTGTTACTATTATTGTCATTGTCTGTTTCACTATCTGTGTTGTTGTTTGTATCGCTATCATTGTGCTTATTTTTCTTTTTTTTTGCGGATATATGTTTTGGTTTTTTTTTTGACGATTTGCTCTTATTTTTGCTTGTCACAGTTTTTTTGGCGGATTTAACGGATTTTGCATTTTTTACTTGGGGGTTGTTTTTTTCATTTTTTGTATTTTTTGAATCTATTGTTTTTATTGCGTTCTTTTTATTTTGATCACTTTGCCTACTTTCTTTAGATTTAGAGTCAAGATCTGTTTTATTTTGTTTGTCGAGCATGGCATTAAATGCTTTAGCGTCCTTTATGAAGTCGGCATTTGCCTCTGGAACAGTTCCATTGAGAATATCGATAATTGATTTAATTGTACCAATATCATCGGTTTCTACTTCAATTATTTTCATATATTAAATAATGGTGATATAGGTTTGGTACTTTAGGCGTTTTATTACGAAGATTTAGTATTTTCAATTTTTATTTTCGATCTATTTACCAACACCGTTTTACCAACACCTTTTGAATTTTTAATAAATATGTCAATAAAACTGTTGATATAATATCAAAAATACAAATTAACGCAAAAAATATATTGCAACAATTTTATTGGACAATGTTGGTTTTTTCGTTTTTTTAAAATAAAATGGGAAAAAATAACAAAATGTTAATAAAAAACGCCAATGGTTAAAGTTATTATCAGAATTGTCGTTAAATATGTTTTGGGCATAATTAGTGTTTATGGTTATAAAATTAGATTTGGTTCACATTTTGGCCGTTCTTTTTATTTTATTTTATTTTTAGTTAACAGATTTGACAAATACTCAATGATAATTATGTCACCCTATATATATAACATATAACGACTTTAATGCCTAAACATAGTTATCAACTTGTAAATCCGGTAATTGAGGGTACGTTTAAAGATGTATATGATGCAAACACACCAATCGAGGCCGCTAAAACAATGTGGTTAAACTTAACCGAACATATTGTTTCACATGTCCCAAAATTTATGTTTACAATGAGAGATATCAGCAGTGACAAATTGTATCACTTTGAAGTTACTGAAAACAGAAAAACGGGCAATTTTACAATTAATACTATGGACATAAATGGCGACAAAGAAGTTCTCGACAGTTTTACTAAGAGTGTCGATTCTTACAGTAAATTACGCGAACAAAAAGGAGGAGATGGCGAAAAATATCCGGAACAATACGGTGGTAAAAAAAGAAAAAGATATGACGATTCAAGCTCATCGTCATCGTCGTCAAGTACCGACATTTACCCAACTATCAGAAGAACAAGTCCAATCGCGATATTCCATTATAACCCAAGTTTTTATTACACGAATACCGCACTTCAGTCAACACTAAACCCCCAAATTGTCAGATTTACAACCCCGGTTTTTACACCAATTTTTCGCCCGGCACTAGGCACTTTTGTTGGGTTATGGCCTTAAAATATACCTTATTTTTTAAAAAAATGGTAAATTTATGGTATTTTGCTAAATTATGACAAACCACAATATCTATCAAACTACTTCAACGACAAAAAACCGGCGAAAATATGTAAATTAGTAGTTCGACAAAATGGATTAGCATTAGTATATGTAAAAGAACAAACTAAAGAAATATGTAAATTAGCTGTTCAACAAGATGGATTAGCGTAACGACATGTAAAAGAACAAACTGAAGAAATATGCAAATTAGCTGTTCAAGAAAACGGATTTGCATTAGAATTTGTAGAAGAACAAACTGAAGAAATATGCAAATTAGCTGTTCAAGAAAACGGATTGGCATTGGGACATGTAAAAGTACAAACCAAAGAAATATGCAAATTGGCATTAGAATTTGTAGAAGAACAAACCGAAGAAATATACAAAATTATTCCATTTTTGCAAAATTATGACATCGTGTTGAATTATGTCAAACTACAATATTAAATTACATCAACAACAAAAAACCGGTAACACAATATGTTATGTTATATTATACTACAAATCCAATTTTTCCAACTCTGTTTTTTAGTAAAAAACCAAGTAATTAAATAGTCTAAAAAATAAACTGGTAATGTTTGTTAAATAATGTTGCAAAATAATCATATTTTAAGTAAATCAGACGACTCCGTTTTGTCTAAAGCGCAACAATCCGCAAAGAATTTAAAAGAACTTGAGGCAATTGATTTAGCGTTGTTGTCTTTATGTGGAGAAATTCAAAAATATTTGGATGATTCAAAAAATTTATGGGACAATGTTTTTGTTCCTTTTATTGATACACGTGATTGTATGACATTACAAAAATTATCTAAAAATGACTATAGGGTGTTCTTGAACTTTATGTCGACGCAAAAAGTTTATAGAATAATGACGATATCAAAAGCCCGTCTTGAGAGGCGCAAAAAATATTTACTTTCATTGTGACAAAGTGACAAACGTTGGGATTTTTTTAAACCATGGCATTTATTTTTTGTTTTAGATAATAATGCCAATAACATATAAGGGAGGGGTAGGAAGACGAATAATATGTCGACATAATTAATCGGCCCGTTTTTGCTGCATGTACTGTATTTTTTTAATTCATGTTTTAATAAATTCGTCTAGATTGATACTTTATTATGAGTCATTTTAAATTTTGCCATAGAAATTTATTTAGGAAACCTGTACATTTACATTTACATTTTTATTCAAATAGAAAAGGGCACATGGTAGGTACTGATAACCAGGTTCTAATAAAAAGTCCTGGTAATTATGAGGAATTGAAAAAAACCACGGAACGTGTTTATAAAAATAAAGACGAACATATTAAAAATTATATACAAACAGTTAAATAACTATCCTGTTTTTCAATAAAGAGGTGTAATAAAAAATTGAAATATAAATAGCCAATGGTCTCGTTTATATTTTTACATTTACATTTACATTTACATTTACATTTACATTTACATTTACACATCAGCCATTAAATAAATAATGTTTGTCCAAATTCGAATCGGATTAATTATCAAAACTATCAGTAATGAATCGAATCGAATAAATTTACGCGACATAATTAGTGATTTAGAAAAAAAAACAATAAAGGGATGTGAGCTCATTGTGTTTATATTTGATTCCAACACAACAAATTTCCATAAATATGTTTTTGAATATTTACCTGATTCTGATTTATTGCCAAGAAAATGGTTATTAAACAATGTTTTATATTCAATAACATGCGACGATACCAAAAAAAATATGGATGGAATATTTGACGATTTACTAGTCTTGTTATGGGAGGAATATCACCGTTAAAGTTTAATTTAACATGACCAAAAAATATTTAACCCGATATGTTCCAAAATAAAACATCGGGTATTTATCTTATCTTATCTTATTTTATTTTATCAACAGTCTGTTAAAAACGGGCGATTTATTACAATTGGTTTGATGGTAATAAAGGACTGATAATTATTCAGTAATGTTTGTTTTTTACCGATTTACCATTTTTAGATTGTGTCTTAACAAAGTAATAAAAATCCTCTTTGTCAACAAAAGCTCCCAAACCTTTTACATTGCTTTTAAAAGGAACTTTTGGATCGGGGCTGACATAAGGAACATAATATGGTTTTTCATCCATGTTATTTAAATCTATACATTCAAGTGTAATTAGTTTATAAAGATAGTTTGCATTTGAGTGATTACTCCCTGGAAGTATTAATATGTTTTCTCTGCCCATTTTTGTTTTAATGTCCAACGCCTCGTCGCGCGACACCCTAATTATTGCCGAATTTATTTCCCCATAATTTGACGGAACATAATCAATAAACTGTTCTAAACAAATATCGTTAGGGTCTTTGTCTTTTTTAAATCCGTAATCAACATATCCTATATTAAGTTCACGGTCAATGTCATTGTCATCGTCGCAATAAATAATGTTATCTATGTCTGTTAAATTAAACATGCTTTTATATCGCGAGCTATATCCCGGATCATGGAACAAGTTATCCGAATATTCACATTTTTGTTTTAGCCATCTAATTAGATCAATTCTTTTAGATTTATTGACCAATTCGCCATATCTGATTTCATTGATTTGCTCGTTTTTATTTGACAAATCTGATACATGTGTTGAGGCACCAGTATCCAATAAAGGGATACTATTATTATCATTGTATTCTGTCATTATTTAGTTATGTAATTATTATCTGTAATATTTTATTTGCTATCATTTAGATCTTTTAACAAAAAATACCACATGTCTTATCTTATGTCTATCGGCACAATTTGATTTTATTATTTGAAGTGCCTGACACGACACATAACTCGAAAAACATATTACAAGTTTAATACGTCTTGAGATAAGATAAATCGTTTCATATTAAATGGCACCAAAAAGAGCATGTTTCATAATAAAATAGTATTAAACATGATATTTATTATATAAAAATAAAATGGTGTCGGACAGGACAGAACATGTTACATGTTAAAATAATTTTACACCCCTAAAGATTTAAAATGCCAATTTTGTTAAGGCGACAATCCCTAACTGATTTATTGGCTTTCTTATGTCTTTACTCACCAAGGCTCGTAGAGACCTGAGAGAACGACTTTTTTTAATTTACCTTATTTGAACTTTTTCGCATCTTCCTATTCCAGTTTTTACAAATTGGGCACATACAACTTGTTCTAAAATCATTGACTAAATATGTTTTGTAATTATTTTGTCTAAATAACATTTCCATACCTTTTATCAATGCTTTTTTTATTTTTTTATTTATGCTGTTTGCTATTAATACTTGTCATATTTTTTAACACATTGGAATGATTTAATTTTTAATATTAATCAATATATTTTATGCCGTACCGTCCTGGCTTTCCCTCCTACCCCTAATTTAATTTACATAATTTCTTAATATTTAACACCAAGTAATATTGGAACATAAAATACACCCTGTTTAAAAATTGACAAATTTATTCTTTATTTGCAAATTCATGACATTACATTATGTTAAATTATGGCAAACTACAATATTAAATTACTTCAATTACTAAAAAATGGCGATATAAAATCAGGTTGTGAATTTAACTTAACAATGCTGGAGCCAAATTTTATAAATTTCTCAACAATTTAACTCATTACGGATTTACCTATAAACCCGGTCTTAACGTTGATATTCTTCCGTTTAATCCAATTAACACATGTTCTACAGGTGGTCTATATTTTTGTGCAGAATATAACTGCCATATCTATTTGGAAAGTTATAGCGATAATGTTGCAGAAATCGAAATACCGAATAATGCCCAGGTTTATATCGAGGAAGATAAATTTAAGACCGATCAAATAATACTTAAAAACATCAGTAAAATCGAAGACCAGTCGGATGATTTTTGGATTAATGTCTGTTCACAAAATGGTTTAGCATTAGAATTTGTAAAAAAACAAACCGATAAAATATGCGAATTAGCAGTTCAACAAAATGACTATGCGTTCAAATATGTAATAAAACAAACCGAGGAAATATGCAAATTAGCAGTTCAATAAGACGGATACGCATTAGAATATGTAAAAAAACAAACCGATAAAATATGCGAATTAGCAGTTCAACAAAATGCATGTAAAAAGGCAAACTGAAGAAATATGCAAATTAGCAGTTCGGCAAAGTGGTTGGGCATTACGTTATGTAAAAGAACAAACTGAAGAAACATGTGAGTTGGCTGTTAAACAAAATGGGTATGCATTACAACACGTAATAAATCAAACTGAAAAAATATGTAAATTGGCTGTTAAACAAAATGGATTAGCATTACAAATTGTAAAAGTAAAAGAACAAACCGAAGAATTATGTTGAATTAGCCGCACAACAAAATGGATTGGCACTAAAGTTTGTAATAACTCAGTCAGATGAATATGTGAATTGGCAGTTCGTTCGACAAAATGGATTAGCACTGAAATATGTAGTCAAACAAACCGAGGAAATATGCGAATTGGCAGTTCGACAAAATCGTTTGGCAACAAAATTTATAAAAACTGACATATAAAGAATATAAAGTAAAGTAAACAATTCAAACAAATGTTAACATGTTGTTTTTTAATTACATTTAGTTTTTTAACCAAATGTCGGGATTTTTTGTATGGATGCGTAAAGGTGAGGTGAGGTGAGGTAAAGGACAGCGTAATTTTTATTGTCGACATACATTTTTTTTTATTTAATTTATCTAAAATGAAATGACTTTTGTGATTCTGTTTTAGGTAACTTTATTTTTGTCGTTTTAGCACGATTTTTAAGATAAGAAGAGGTGTTTTTAAATTATCCACGTATTTATGTTGACTAATATTAAAAATAAAATTAAAATTAAGTCAATATAATTTGCCAAAAAAACATAATAAGTATTAATAGTAAACAATTACCAAAAACGGCATTAACAATAACAAAAAATAAATTAAACAATTTTTCAATAAAATGATTATAAAATTGCAAAATTGTTGTGACTTATTAATCATCCACACCATGTTGGTAAAATAACATTTATCGCAACAAAATTAAAATATCATGACCGTATTAACTTTTATACCAATAAAACATATTCGCGTTTTTTTTAAAAATAACAATGTGCCGATAAACAGTTTCATGCTAAATATGTTACATGCTAAATATTTATATTTGTAACCATAATCTTTATAAAATATTGTTTGTTTGTTTTTTAGGTCTCCCTCTTTTTTTGATCTGATTATTTACTTGAATCGAATTTTTATCGACATTGTCTGATCTTTCGGAACTATTGGTGTTTTGGCCGATTTTTTTTTTGTTTGGATCTCCGGACATACGTTTAAGATACTTACGGGTTTTAATTTCCCTCTTTTCATCGATCGATTTTATAAAGTCTTTGACAATTAGTTTGGCCTCCTCGTCATTATTGCATAATCCGTGCTTTCTAATTCCGTCAACAAGGCATATTGTGATATCTTCCATTTTTGGGGGCGATTTCTTTTCAGTCTCTGTTTTAATAAGAGTCGATTTATTGGCTAATTGAAAATACTCCTCATTGACTTTATCAAGATAACCTATCAAAAACATCTCTAATTGATCTTTTGTGTCTTTGATTGTTTTCATTTCTTTTTTATGTTCGGCTTGTTTTTTTTTAATAATATCATCTAATGTAATGTATTTCATGACACGTTCCAAAATAACTGTTTGTAGGTATAATGATTCTTTATCTTCTTCTTTTTGAGCATCGTAATCAAATGCATCGCTTATATTTTCATTGTCATCAATATCAGATATATCGGAACTATTTGATTTACTGTGTTTTATTGAGTCTTTGCTTTTATTTGTCTGGTTTTTTGATTTTAATACAGTTTCCTTACTTGATGTGATATTTTCTTTTGTTTTCATTAGATTAGGCATTCTCTAGTTAGTGTATTTAATATAAAAAATCCAATAATATTTAAGTTTTTATTGGCAGCATCGATATCGCCTTTTTTCGATGATCGGGGCGGAATAAGATAAGATAAGACAAGACAAGATAAGATAAGCGGCAGAATAATAAAAAAACCCGACCATGTTTGGTTAGTTTTGATTTGTTTTTACATTTTTACACCTTTGCCTGTAATTTGCGTTATATTTTTGGTGATTTGCTACTAGACCTTTATTTTTTAAAAACATGTGCCTACTATTTTACCTTAAACATTGAAATGAAAGTCGTTTTATTTTGAACATAATAAATAAAAAAGAACACTTATTAATATAATATGACACAACACAATGCCATTATTTTAGTCTATAACTTGATAATTGACCAGTTATTTCCAATATCTTGTTGATTTTGAACACCTATATTTAGCAGTGATATAAAAGACAATGACAAATATTTTACATTAGATTTTTTCCCAACAACAAGTGCATAAACATCGTTATCCGACATTCCGACAATCGGCACGCCCGGTTCATATACATCAATAAATTCGGGGTTTTCCCTTTCTAAAGCCATGTGCACTGTCATAAATTCATAAAACATTTCCATTTTGTCGTTTGTGTCAGACGGATTTTTAATGTCAATGTTTTCAAACATCGATCCTAATGTTCCGTTTTTCGAATTATAGATATGGAGAAATCTATCAATCATATTTATAGAAACTTCTGGTGCAATACCGGTTTTTTTTATGTTTGTGTTATTGTCCGTGTTATTGTCTGTGTAATTGTCATTATTTAATTTTATGCCAATGTCGTATGTTTTAATTTCTTTGTCATTAATATTAATACCGATTTTACCAGCCCCAGTAATAATATCACATTGTTCGGCTTGTTCGGCTTGTTCAGCAAATCCTACTTTTTTCATTTTCAACAATATTTCTCTTGTTTATATAGAATATTTATCTTTTAACTAATTGTTAAAAAATCAAAATTTTATATTAAATTTAGGAACAAAGACTCTTAGAAGTTCTGTCTGGTTCCCACGAGCTTTGCAAAAAAGGCCCAGAAACAAACTTTGGACAAACCGCCTTATCAAGACCCCTTATGTCATATATTCGTCCTTTAGTTGAACCAACAGTATTTACCCCGATAGGCCTGTATATATTTATTAAATGCGAGTTTTTAACATCGACTGTTTCAATTGTTTCAAAAAATTCTTTTTCTTTATGTTGAGGCAAGAAATCATTTACGTCATGTTTGTTAGATCCGGCTCTTTTATTGTCTTTTAGATTAACAAAAGCATGTTGTCCATCAGATTCATCAATTGGTACAAACCTATCTGTGTAATTTTTTGTTATGTCTTTAACATTAAAATGTTTATCAACATGTTTAAAATCGGTTTCGGCACCAATGTCTTTATATGAACTATGTTTATATTTTTTGCCGTTTTTTCTTCTATAATGGGGTCCGTTCATTCCCATTGCCCTTTCGCGAATAATATCCAAGCTCGAATCAACAGTGTCTGTGTCATTAGTTATTGTATGGTGTCTATTTGCGGACGATTTTGTACTTGTACTTGTACCAGATATATGACTTTGGCCTGATTGTTCTTTGGTATCCTCATCATCATCATTTTCAGACAATGTATCTGAAGTGTTAACCGTTATTTCAGAAGACTCGTTTGTTGTGTTATCTAAAAACTCGTGTTCTGAATCATGATCTGTGCCATTTTCCAAATCGTGATTTATACTTTTTTTTGTTTGAAGGACGCCATCGTTATGAATTGGATTTCCATTAAGTACGTAAAAAAGTGACAGTAATAATATCGATCCAAGAATGAGTACAATGATGGTATTATCTGATGATGACATTGTTATATATATTTATATATTTAATAAAAAGTTTCCATACGATTTGTGCCTATAATTATGAAAAAACGGCATTTGTTTTTTTTGATGCTATACTGTAAAATATTTAATTGAAGGCAAATTTTTTTGCACCATGACCCTTGAGCAAAACACGATACGATAAATGTTGTAATCAAAAAATTTCTGACTGATATATATATATCGTAAATAATGGGCTATTCATATGATTTAGTAAAAATAGATCCTCAAGAAAGTATAGGAACTGAAATTTCCTATTCTTCATCCGCTCAAGAAATTACAAGTAAAAATAAAAACAAAAATGATAAAAATAAAAAAGATTATGTCAGATTAACGCCACTAATTTTAAAAGCAATTGAAGATAGTGAATATAACGTAGCTGCATATTTTCTCAAAGAATTCGAATATCATTTTTTAGATTTGGGGTACGTTAATAAAAAAAACGAAACCCTAATTAATGCTCTTGTTAAAAAAAGAAACAACATTGGACTTGAGGCAGATAAGGCACTTTCAAAGTTGATTCCATTAGCCAAAGATACTATTGATGTTCCAGATTCAGATGGAAATACGGCATTTATAAATGCTGTTAAAGGAGAACTCTTTGACATTGCCCGATATTTAGAACATCATGGTGCAAAGAGAGCAGTGTCATCTTCAAATAACACAATTGTTAGTGATAGCGACGGTGAATATAATGATAATAACGATAATAATGACAATAATGCCAATAATGATAAATACCAAGATTTACAAAAGCCAAAACGACCGTCAATATTTGCAAAACAAACCACCAAATCAAACAATAGTGAAATAAACGATATACATAGTATTGTTAAGGCATTTGTAACCAAAGAAAATACTAACACAACAGATGGTAATAGTATTGTTAAAACAGATCTTGGGTACAATAATAATAATAACAAAAATATAAACAATTTAACCAACTCTGATTATTTTGTTCAAAATCTTGCAAAAGAAATGGTGGGCGACAAATCTAACCAAGAATTAAGAAGACAGGTTGGTGGTGCAAAAAAAATAAACAATAAAACATCGACAAAAGTTGTCGGAAAGAGAAAAATGGTGGGATTTTCGGAGCTTAGTGATAAATACGATACGAATGAGGGAATCAATAGCAATGAAATGAAAAAGATATCGAGGGCAACAATAAACCAGAAAAACAAGTTTCATGAAGAGGCTGTCGAAAAAATCTCGGCACATCTGTCAAAAAAAGACCCAATGACTGCAAAGGCTGTTAAGGCAATAATTTATGAAGAAATTAAAAACACCAATAAAGAGGCAAGCGGGCTTGATCGAGCAGCGATTTTGTTAAAAGCAATTACCAAAGATAAAGTCAACGAGGTTCTAAAACAAAAAGACACAATTAAAAAAATAGTCGACTATCTTGAACAAAAAAATAAAGGATCCAATAAAAATCCTGTAATTAATAAAAAAAACAAAAGTGATTTTGAATCATCAGTTGTAGAAACATCCGATAACAGTTCTTTTAGTTGAGCAATAAAAAATGTCCCATAATAATATTTTTTGAATTTACCGATATATTACATTCGAAGGGGTCGATATCGGTTTTGTGTCCGTTTTTACTAATACAGATTCATAATTTGGTTTTTTATTAGATCTAATAGAAATAATATTTTTAATCTTTCTTCTTGCTAATTGAGTATAAGTACGAAAGATTATAATACCACATTTACAAAAATAGGAATTATGTTATGTTATGTTATGTTATGTTATATTATATTATATTATATTATAATATGTTATATTACGTTGTATTACATGGCAATATAATTGAACATGCATTTTTTTGATATTAGATCGGTTTAATAGGTTTGAGTTGAACAGATATTTTTGATTTGCCGTTTGACCTAACATATCCTTTTCCGTTTTCCATATTATTGAGAATCACATCAAGATTTCTCAAAATTGGCATCGGAAGAATTTCACGGAAGGATTTATTTAATTCATAGTCTTTGATCCAAAGTTTAATTAAAACACTTCTGCTTTTAATTGAGTAACATAGACCATTAATGATATGATTATTCTTAACAAAAGATTCGTTCAAAACAAGGATACAAATTGCGGAAAAAGCGTCAACACCGAGATTTCCACATGAATGCGTGGGATGCTTGTTAATATTATCAATCATAATCGAGCATATTGCACCTTGCTTGTTATTATTATCTTCCCAAATAGGAGTAATGCCTTTTCTCATAATGTAGTATTGCCTAACATCTTTATCTAAGTTGTCAAAAACATGTAAAAATCTCCACATACTGCCAATACTGTTAATTTCATAGATTGACTTATATGAATTTAAACTCCAGTCGACATTTGAGTTTTCATGAATCCAAACATCCCAATACGTATTTAATTTCATATCGTCTCCAGGCATATTACACGACGGGTCGTATAATTTAAATGTATTAGTATTGTCGCTTTTCTTTGGTCCCAAATGGGATCTATTTAAAGATTTTTCGGATTTTAATGAAGATCGTCCATAATTAGAAACAGATGGCGGAACATACTTTTTTTCCGATATATTATGTGTTTTGCTTTTGGTCGTGTTATTTATAATATTTGTATTATTTATGTCATTAGATAATTCGCTGAGATCTGTTTTAAAAATCGGGATTGACAGTTTATCAGATTGTTTAGTTACTTTTTTTGTTTTATTATTATTTCGGGTTTTACATAACAATGCCATATCAATATCGTCTTCGAGTTCACCTAAAACGTCAAATCGATTTTCAGGAATGACCTTGTTTGACTTTGATAATGCCTTAGAGTCAGATGGATTTAGTATTGTTTTATTTTTCTTTAATGGCATAATATCTAATGTCTGTAGAAACTTCGTTAATATTTAAGTTATTTCCAACTTTACAATACAATAAGAGCATATTAAATCAAATTTTATTATTTTTTTGATCTATACAGATCTTAAAAAAATATTTTACTATTATTTGGTTTTTACCGTTATTTGGTAAAGATTGATACAATACTTGTTAATTGGATGTCCGTATCTGATGTTACAATAAGATTCATTTCACTGTCGCGCAAGTCAGTAAGTAAATTGGCTCCTTTAATTGGATCCATCTTTTTGTCTATTATTGATTTGCTAATTTTTAAAGTAAGTTCCGCAATAATATCACAAAATGAATAGTGTTTTTGTTTAGTAATATTTTTTAAAAGAGAGACGCTATTTGTAAAATTGCCTTTTAACAATGTTTCATAAATGTTGTCTATCTCATTATTTGTTGGATAGTTTTTAATTTTCGTTATTTTATCAGAGTCGATTTTTTTGTTGTTAATCCCAATAACTTGTAACATATGAAGAACTTTTCTCATATCGCCTTTTGATAATTTCCATAAAGTTTGAATACCGTCGTTAGTGATAGTAAAATTAGTCTCTTTAGCAATCATTCTAATTTTTTTACGAACGCTGTCATAATCCATAGGCGGAAAATTAAAAACAGAACATCTTGATTGAATTGCAGGTTCAATTTTTTTGACACAATTACAAATTAGGCAGAATCTTGCGTTATCTGTATAATACTCAATGACTTGTTTCAACATACATTGTGCATCAAGAGTCATTGCATCAGCCTCATCCAAAATAACAAACTTGTATTTTGGCGAACCATTTTTTCCAAATCTAATTGGATCTGTTGACACAAAATCTTTAATTTTGTTACGCACAACTTCAATGCCTCTTTCCTCAGATGCGTTGATATTCATCGTCATAAATTCGACCAAATCGTGTCCATATAGCTCATTAACAAAAGCTTCAATAGTCGATGTTTTACCTGTTCCCGGAGGGCCATAAAATAGTAAGTGTGGAATATCAGGTCTATTTAGATAAATTTTTAAAACTCTGATATTTTCACAATGTGACATTATCCCATCAAGTACATTAGGTCGAAATCTCTCAACAAAAGGGAGTTTGGATCTATCTGGCTTCAAATTAGGGGTTTGTGTGATATTCATTTTATGTTATATTTAAATTATGGTGTTTATGATATAAATTTCATCTTTATCACTTTATTATATTACATTATATAAAGAATATTACATTATATAAAGATAAGTTCAATTTCTTTTTATTATTTTTGTGATTAAAATGCGTGTTTTGGTCGATATATTAAAAATGTCAAAAATGTTATCATTAGTATTATCTTTGACAAAAATACACATATCAAAATATATTGATGTCATTTTAAAATATGTCAAATTCACACGTGTTTATGATCTTACCTCGTTTGGATGTGACTTAACAATAATATATTATCTATTGATTCTGGTTAAATATTTAGGTTTACCTGTGGCGTCTAATATGTGTTTTCAGCGACTCGGTGTTTGTACTTATATAAATAATAAGTATGTCAGATACGTCTGTTATGATTCGGGTCTTTCAAATGTAATTAGAAACGGAAGTGAGTTATCTTCAAAAAAATACCACACAATTAAAAAAATAGAGTGTCAAATCAATAGAAATAGTAATTTATATTCCATAGACATAACTGATTCAAAGGATAAGCTTTATGACATAAACGATTATGATTATACGCCTTACGAAGACATTGTAAAATTTTATTATGTAATGAATAGAAATAAATCAATGGATTTTTTTTATAAAAATTGCTTAATACGGATTTATAGAGAATATTTTGATGATGACATAATGAATTTTAGAAGAAGTATTATTACTAAACCAATCAATATCTAAAACGACAAAAGTGTTAGGTAATATTTTATATAAAAATATTGATATTAACATACATTATCAATTTATACTTAAATATTATATAAGTAATTATAAGGATAAATTTTCATGGACTCTAAATATCGTACATATGACGCGGCAGTCATAAAACCAATCAAAGAGATCGAATTTGATATTCTTTCAAATCATGAGATTAGAGCAATGAGTTCTTTAGCCGATACTCATGGCGTGGAGTTTCCGGATCTTTATGACAAACAGGAACCAAAAAGGGGGGGATTGATCGACCAGCGTATGGGAGGTCAAGGAAATAATATATGTGCAACATGTCAACTTGATGGAAAATACTGCGATGGTCATCCCGCACACATAGATCTGGCCGAACCGGTGTTTAATATTTTATATTATCAATATCTCACATCTATTATCGAATGCTTTTGCCTTGGATGTTCGCATCTATTAGTATCAAAAGAGACAGACAAACTAAAACAGGCTTTGGCAATTAAATCAAAAAGAAACAGATTTTTAAGAATTTATGAACTTGTAAGCAAAACTAAATTTTGCAATAATGACAATTGTGGTCTTAGAGTGTCCAAAATAAGAGTTGATATTAAGAAAGCAACATCTGCAATTACCGTATATGCGGAAACTGAAACCCTTGATGCAGATGATAAAGGTGGGGCTGATAAAAAAAAACAACGAATAATTCTAACTCCTGAAATTATATCAGAAATGCTCGACAATATATCCGATGAGGATTGTAGAATTATTGGGATGGACCCTTCAAGAAGCAGACCATCTGATATGATCCATAAAATTTTCCATGTCCCACCGGTTCATGTCAGACCATCACTAAGAAATACCGGTGGATTGTCTGTGGAAGATTGTTTGACGCATAAATTGGCTGATATTATTAAAGCAAATACACGTATTAATAAACAAAAAGAGACAAATAACGAAAATTCAAATAAATACTCAAAAGATCATGCCCATTTGCTACAGTATCATTGCGCCACTTACTATGATCCAAATATTATCAGTGTCCCAAAAGCAGACGGTAAAGGCACACAGTTTAAACCTTTAGTCGATAGATACAAAGGTAAACCTGGGCGAATTAGAGGTAATATTCAAGGTAAACGCGGGAATTTTAATGCCCGAACTGTCATTACGCCGGATCAGACGATTGCAAGCAACCAAATCGGGGTACCGATAAAAATTGCCATGAATGTCACATTTCCGGAGTTTGTAACGGAATACAACTATGACAGACTAACGCAATTGGTGAGAAACGGTCCTGACAAATATCCTGGTGCAAACTTTGTGTACAAAACATCAAACATGCAAACCACAAATAAACAATTGTATCTTAAACCAATAAAAGAAACTGTTGTTCTTCAATACGGCGATATTGTTGAAAGACATCTTCAGGACGGTGATGTTGTCCTTGTTAATCGTCAACCCACTTTGCATAAACAGTCAATGATGGGTCATAGAATTGTTGTAATTCACGATGAGTCGTTGTTGACATTTAGATTATCGCTCAGCGTTACGACTCCTTATGCAGCTGATTTTGATGGTGATGAGATGAATATTCATATACCTCAAAGCATACAAACACAGATTGAGCTTGAGGAAATAACGGATGTAAAAAAACAAATTATAATGCCTGCCAAATCAGTCACAATCTATGGTCTCGTGCAAGACGGTCTACTCGGAACATACAACCTTACCGACGACCGAACAAAGATTAACTGGAGAGACGCAATGAATATCATGAGCTATACGACTTTTGATGATTTTTCCAAATTTGAGAAAAACAAGGAATACACTGGTTCTGAATTATTTAGCATGATTGTTCCTCCTCGAGTAACAATGAGGATTGGTGAAGTGGATATTAAAAACGGCGATCTTGTTAGAGGAAGAGTTAATAACTCTGTTATCGGTGCAAAGAAAAAAAACAATTTGTTGCACTACATTTGGGACGAGTATGGTGAAGATGCAACAATCAATTTTATTGATAACTGCCAGAAATTGAGCGATAATTTCAACTTGTGGAATGGTTTTACTGTTAGTGCAAAAGACTCCCAAGTTCCTCTAAAAACTAAAATCGAAATCGAAAAATACATTGAGGATGTAATAAATAAAGTCAATATCGATATCACAAATATTGAAAATAACCCCGGGTACATGAATGTTGAAAACTTTGAAAGTAAGATTCGTGAAGATATTAATGTTGTCCGTGACGATGTTTCTAAAATCGCATTAGGAAGTGTCGGCAAGGATAACAACTTTAATGTCATGATGACTTCTGGTTCTAAAGGCGGTTTAAATAATTTGGGGCAGATGATCGGTTGTGTCGGATTTCAGGACTTTGAAGGTGGCTTGATGCCAAAAATGTACAATGACAGAACTCTGTGTTATTTTCACGAACACGATGATCGCGCAAAGAGCCGTGGATTGTGCTATAATTCATTCATGGATGGCCTTAGTTACTCCGAATTTTGTTATCATACAAAAGCATGTCGAGCCGCTTTAATTACGACAGTTGTAAAGACATCAGATGCCGGTTATGCTAATCGTAAATTAGGCAAGACGATGGAAGACGTAATGATTAAATACGACGGTACTGCCCGTATTGCAAACAATCAAATTATTCAACTCAATTATGGTGGTAATAGTAATGACACAACAATGCAATATGAGTACAAGATTGGAATGGTTGAGATGAATAACGAAACTCTTGAAAATAACTTTAAATTTACAGACAGTGAATTAAAAGACTATTCAAACTTCTCGTCACAGGACAATGACCAAATGTATGCAACTATCAAAAATTTGCGCGACTCCTTGAGACATAATGCTGTTAGATCTAAATTAAATTATATGACCATTGGAAATTCCTACATGTTACCTGTTAATATTGCTCGTATCATATCATCACTCTCTAGTTCAAATTCAAATTCTAAATCCAAGCCAAAGTCAAACAAAAAAGTGTCACCAAAATACATTATTGACTCAATTGAAAATCTTTTAAGTATAAATGAGACACCGTTGGTAAAAGTTCCGAGATCGATGTGTCAAAATATGCCCAGGCTTGCGATCGAGGACGACAGTGTTTCTAAATCAGTATTTAGGGTAGCTCTTTACGATGCACTTAGTCCAAAAATTGTAAACGAAAAACATAAAATATCAAAAGAAATTTTTGATTCGATTATCGACGAAATTAAAACTTGTTTTAACGACAATATTGTTGAACCGGGTGAAATGGTTGGAATAATTGCGGCTGGTGCTCTCGGAGAGGCTGTCACACAGACAACAATTAGTACTTTCCACCACTCTGGTATTGCATCGTTAACCCATTCAACGGTAGGCGTGCCGCGCATCAATGAATTAATTGGCGCAACTAAAAATCCAAAAACACCCCAGATGTTCATTTACCTTAATAAATCAAGTAGGAACTCAAGAGATATTGCCCATAGAATCGCGTCATATCTTGAAAAAACAACTTTTGGTAACGTTTATAAAAAAATAGATGTTTATTATGATCCAAATCCTTCTGCGACAGGTGGTTTTATGGAAGAAGATGGAATGACAGAACCTTTTTATAGTAGAAAACTAACAAGAAACAGTTGTCAAACAAGCATAGACAATCTTCCATGGCTGTTTAAAGTCCAGATTGATAAAGAAAAAATGCTGGAAAAAAATGTTACATTGATGGACATTAAATCGAAATTTTGCATGTGGTGGGACAGAAGACATGTTAATACAAAAAAGAAAAAAGAAAAAAGTTCCCTTTTAAAAAAACTGACGTCATTTGCAATGTTGTCAAATTCCGACAATGATACTCAACCGATAATCCATATTCGTTTTAATGCAAAAGACCAAGATAAAAACGATTTGAAAAATAAAACAAAAAGTTCGTCAAAGTTTGATCGCAGGACTCTTGTTGATTTTGTCGAATTGATTGAAAAGTTTAAACTCAAAGGCATTGACAGTATCAATAGAATTAATGCCGTATCAAAAGAAAGATATATTGATGCGGCAGACGGTAACAGTATGAAAATTGGGGAAGAATATGTAATCTATACAGCCGGTGTTAATTTAAATGATATCAGATATATTACGGGTATTGATCTTTATCGTACATACTCTAATGACATAATCGAGACATTAAAAACATTTGGTATTGAGTTTGCTAGAAACAGAATTCTTACCGAGTTTTTAAAAGCCTATGAAAATGCCGGAAACACAGGTATTAATCCTCAACATATATCAATTTTAGTTGATATTATGTGTTATGGTGGAACTGTCATCTCGGCTGATAGACACGGCATGATGAAAGCAAATATCGATCCTCTAACAAAAGCTTCATTTGAGAAATCGATTGATGTTCTTACATCAGCTGCAGTATTTGGGGATATTGACAGAATGCAAGGAGTGTCTTCACGTATTTATATCGGCTCGGTATTTAAAGGCGGCACTGGATATTGTGAATTAGTTTTAGACACTCAAATGATTCAAAATTCGGAATATGTTGAGAAAACCGAAATGTCTGAATCCGGATATGTTGGTGCAGCAGACAAAGGGTTGGGTACTAGTAATAATATTGCAATAAATACAATTGCAAATGCCATAATAAATGGTAAAGTTGACGACGAGATCTTTATTCCGTAAAAAAATTGAATGTTATTTAACAAATAACCAGTGTTATATTAAATGATAATATTTTAAGTATGAATCCAAATCAAAAAACGTTATTTAACGCTGTTAATTATGAGAGTCAAAATCTGGATCCCCAAAAAGCATTATTAAATGATGTTATTATCCAACACAAAAACAATAATGTAGAAAGACTTATACCTATTTCTTCATGTGGGGGAAAAGGGTACTATGTTATGACAGAAATGTTAGGTCCAAAGTCTGTTATTTATAATTTAAAAGAAATAACCACCGTAACAGGATTAAAGTTTATGAAAACAACTTTTAAGCTTTATGAAAAAGATAATAATAATGATAATAATAATGATAATAATAATGATAATAATAATGATAATAATAATAATAAGCAGGTCGGCGACCTAATTGAAAAACTTAATATTTTTGTCGAAGGTGTTGCAGAAAGAATTAAATATATGATGATGATTCCAAAATTTGAAAGAAAAAAAAGCTTCTGGCTTACAGTCAATACGATAAAACTAAATGGGCAAATTAAATACAGGAATATAATTGAGTTAAATGAAAAAAAAGACAATGTTGATTTGTATTGTTTAAAAGAAGTAATTAAATTATGTAGATACAGGCTTCTTCTCAAGATAAACTACCTTATTGTTACACAAAAAACAGTAAATCTTAATATAAGACTCGTAAGAATATTGCCCGAATCTATCGATCCTCTTTCCGCGTTAACAAAAATAAACATTTTGAGCGTGTTTAACAATAATCTTTCCAATAGTGTTAATAAGTACAATTTATTGGTAAATAATATTGACACAACACGCCTTTCTAAACAACAAGCAAAAGACAACATAAAAAAACTTCTAAACATTCCAATAACAGATAAAACTAAAAAATATCCAAAAAAGACAAATAAAAAGGCAAATACACAACCGAAAGGTTTATAACTATAACACCTGAGTTTTATAACACTGATTTTTTTATAATTCAACATAAAGAAACAAAATATTGTTATGTATTTTGTCGACATGTATTCTTTTTGTCATCTTAACGCGATTTTTTAAAGAGCGTGTAATTTTGTTTTTACGTATTTATATTGATCAATATTTAAAAGCGCATGGATACTAATACTAAGCCAACACAATTTGCCAATAAATACAATAAGTATTAATAGCGAACAACCGCCAAAACACCGTAATAAATAACAAATAAAAAACAAATGAAATAAAATTAGTCACATTTTTACAAGATTGGTTATGAATTATATAATTAGCCACTTTTTTTACAAGATTAGCCATGAATTATATAATTAGCCACTTTTTTTACAAGATTAGCCATGAATTATATAATTAGCCACTTTTTTTACAAGATTAGCCATGAATTATAAAATTAGTCATTTTTTTGCAAGATCAGACATGAATCACAAAATTAGCCATGAATTATAAAATTAGTCATTTTTTTGCAAGATCAGACATGAATCACAAAATTAGCCATGAATTATAAAATTAGTCATATTTTTACAAGATAAACCACGATTTTACGAGATTAGTCATGAGTTATAAAAATGGTCACGGTTTATAAAATAAGCGAAAAAACTAATTATATTGCATTTTTCCCCTACTCCCAAATAATATTTGCGTGTTATTACAAAGCTCTAAAAATAACACATTTTTATAAAGTGTGACAAAAAGTTGATTTTTTAATGTGTTCATAACTTATTCTAATAATATAAAAAAATCACATTTAATCAAAAACATGGCAAAGAAAAACACTAAAGAAGTAAAAACCGGAAAAAAAAACAAAAACCAAGATCAAGATCAAGATCAATATCATAATCAAAATCAGAACCAGCAGGATCATGACCAAGAACAAGAAGATCAAGACCAAGACCAAGAAATCAACAAACTATTTTGTGAAGAAGTCGATGCTAATCGATTGTATGTGATGCCAGCAAAACAAGATGATAAATCTATACAGTATGTAAATTATCCCAGGTATCTTTATGATAAAAAACTAAAGCCCACACCTACAAATTTTGCTGAAAAAGGAGATTTGCCAATAATTATTACGGGTCCTATCAAGATGATTCGAGGAGGAATCCCAAGATACAACGATCAATACCACAAAGAAGGCGAAGACTCAATGAATCGGGCCCACGTTTTTATTCCAAAAAATTCCGAGGATCCGCATTCTGTTGAACTTTTTAAATGCATTAAAAAGATCGACGACCGAATGGATAATGAAATAAACAAAAAAAAAGGAACTCTAATTATTCTTGGCAACCAGGGTCAAACAATACCTCTCAAAGGATATACTTACAAAAGAATGATAACAACTGCGCAAAAAGGAGATGGTGTCGATCTTAACAAGGTTGGTGATTCAAAGGAAATGAAGGAGTTTGTTCCATGGGAACGCATAAAGGCAAAATTTTCGACTGTTTATGACAAAAATATTGAGCAGGGTGCTGCTGGTGTTAGGAAAGATATCGACACCAAAATATATATCGGTAATAACGAAAATTATGAGGACTGTAAAACGGTGAGTAGTATTGGAAAACATTTGGTGTGGAACTGTACCGCTCAGTTTGCCATATCGTTGAATAAATTTTGGATGCAGAAAGGCGGCGACAAGAAATGCGCGTTCGGTATAAAGTGTATTCAAATATGTATAACGGAAAAACCCCAAATGCGTCAATCTGCAATTAAACAACTGAATAACCGTTTGTTTGCAGCATCAGGCCCTTTAGTTATAACTGGCGATAATGAGGAAAATACCAAAATAAATTCCAACAAAAAAAACGCTATTTCAAATACAAATGCAAATGAACAATTATCCGACGATGAAAACAACCAGGATTATGAACAATTATCCGACGATGAAAACAACCAGGAGTATGAAGAACAGGAACAAGAACAAGAACAAGAACAAGACCAAGACCAAGACCAAGAGTATGACCAAGAAAACGAACAAAATAACAGTGATGGTGAAAATGGTGGTAACCAATCGGAGCCTGAGGAAAATGAGGATGATGGTAATGGTTCTGAAGAAGGACATGACGGGGAACAAAATGATGAATCTGGTGGTGAGGATTCGGACCCGGCAAACTCCGAACCTGAAATTTCCGACCCTGATAATTCCGATCAAAATGATTCCGATCAAAATGATTCCGATCATAATGATTCTGATCAAGATTACAAACCTGTGGTTGTTAAAGCCCCTGTAAAACCCTTGTCAAAACCAAATGCCCCATCTAAAGTTTCGACTCCAGTTAAAGCGTCGATTCCGGTTAAAGCCCCAACTCCAGTTAAAGCCCCAAATTCCGGCAAACCCCAAGTTTTGTCAAAAACACCTGTAAATAATAAAATATCTGAACAATATCAACACAAAAATCAAACAGGTAATAATGGTAAAAACGCAACTCAAGTTAAAAAAAAATAAACTGTGTTTGCTAAACATGTTAATTTAATTTCTTTATTATTCGTTTAAAAATAAGTATTTATTCACCTATATAGGTTTATAATTATTAATGTCAAAAAAAATTACTAAATTAGAAAATTTTGAGTCTGATAATATTATCACCTTAAACCAACAGGTATCTGATAGAAGATATCTTACATTTGATTTATGGATCGATAATAATACTAAATCTCAAAGATATGATCAGATATTGCTTCAAATTAATGACATCAAAGTTATTAATAATGGGAATGGAAAAATTAATTTTGATCTAACGGACAAAAAAGACGTTGTGGATTCAATGATACGGATCGAGGAACATATTATAAGTATCCTTAAGACTTATCTTGCAAAGACACAAAAAAAAGGCAACTTTAATTTTTGCAGTGTCATTAAATTCAATGAGTCTTGTTCCAAAGATTTAAACAATAAAAATATTGCCTTAACTCTTAACGCAAAAAATGAAGATTATGAAATTAACTATTATGACAAAGAAAAACAAAAATGCGAAAGTTCTGTTTTAGAAAAAAATGACTCGTTATTCAATATTATTATTGAAATTATGTACATTCATCTTGACATGGTCAAAGGTGATATTGTTGTTGACACTCGTTTAAGAATAGTAATGGAAAGTAAAATTAGACCAACAAGAACAAAGATTGTCGGTATTGATAGTTTTATTGAGGACGAAAAAGAAAAACAGCCAAATATGTCAACATTAGAAATTAAGCAAAGTTTTGACGTGACCCAAACAGAAGTTTTTGAAGACATGGATGACAGTTCGGACCAGTCTTTAGATATTAACACTTCGGGACACGATTTTTTGCCAAAACAAGACGACAATCTTAATAAATATTACGACTTACTAAATATTTCATCAAAAAAAAACAACACTAAATTTGTTACGGCGTTAACCAATATGTCGAAAACAAACAACATTGTGTCTGACACCTCATCGGAATCAGACTCAACGGACGATTTATCATCTGACATTGAATTAGACACAATGTCTAACGCAATAAATGACGACTATGGTAATCAGTCTGTCGATGATGACAATTTCGCAATAAAAATAAAAAGCGAAGACCAAACAATTGGCGGAACGTGTGCGGAATATGGAATAAATAGCATTGTGGAAAACGAAACTATTGAATCACTGGATGAACCGTGTGTCGAACAACAACGCGGTGTTTCCCCAATCGAAGATCTTATAGAAAAAATAAATGACAAAAAAAAGTGTTTAACAAACCCAGACCCCGACATGAAAACTGAGTTAATGACTAAGTCGGTCGAATTAGTCAAATCAGCCAGATCGACAAAGACTGTTAAGCCAGCCAAGTCAGTAAGGCCAGCTAAGTCGGCAAAAACAGCATACCAAAAAAAATAAAAATCTGTCTGACCTAATTATTTTAACAAACTGTGATATTTATTCTATCCTATCCAATGCCATATAAGATTTTTGAATTTTAAGGCTAAAGAGACCTTTCTGTTTCCGATCTGTCATCGGCGTCAAAAACGACCAGACAAAGAATAATCACAATTGTCGTAATAAGAAGAAACCACAATATTATTACTTCGTAATTACTGTTTTTAATGTTAAAAAACCACTTGTTAAAAATAAAATTAAAATTAAACGGGAATCGCGGTTTTTGGGCATATTTATTGTTTATGTCATTAATATAATTATAATTATAATGACCCATTTGAGTATTATTATAGACTGTGTTATCAAAAATACTTTCAAATAGTCTAATTAATTTAGATTTATTTATATAAAAAAATCCAATCAAAAAAATTGCTTATTCATTCACATGTCCTTTTTTTGCGCTTTTAGTTGGCAGGAAACACAGAAAAACACAGTTTCTAACTTAACTTTTTAGCGTTAGATAAGATAAGATAACTAGCGCTAAAAAAATCAATTACATGATGATAACTATCTTATTAGAGTGGTTTTCATCAAATTGTTTGACTCTGACACCCATGTCGTTTTTTCTTTTTTTAATTATCTGCTTTTTAATTTTTTCCTTTTCTTTTCTTGCTTCTTTCTTTTTTTTCTCTTGTGTATTAAAAAATCCCATTTTATTTTTTAGTGTTTCGGAATTTTCCTCGACATAGTCCATAAGATCATGCATGTACATCCATCTAAAAAAATTTAACTGACATAATGTTGTTTCTACGACTTTAGTCTTGTCATTTTTATCATAATTATAGTCAAATTTTCTTCCTCGTCTAAACGGATCAAAATGTTTTTTTGAATGAGTGTCAAGTCTTGCACGATAACTTATCTTAACATCAAATAAATCCACATTACCGTCGGCATTTACACGATTAAAAGCCTCCATTGTTGACGAATACTTCATCGCAAACCAGTTTAAAAGACGCAGAGAAATTGTGTCATCGTTGTTAATTATCTTAACCATTTTTTGAATTTTTTTCCGGTCGCATTTTGTTGTAAAGAACCTGTCAACCTCTGTATAAAGAGATCTTTCGACAACGCTTTTTAAAGCATCTTTCAAAGGCAACTTTTCCATCTTGACTGGTGTTTTTTTTGTTTTAGATTGTGTGCTGTTTTCGTCATTTTCACTACCTATATTATCTGTGTCATCTTCACTATCCACACTATCTATAATGTCTATGCTGTCTATTGTGTCCGTACTGTCTTCACAATTTTCATTGCCATTATTAGGTGTTTTATCACAGTCGTCGCTATCCAAAGATTTATCTTTTGCTATTTTTTGTTTTTTTAGCATCTCAATTATAAACATTGTGTCCGTACTGTCTTCACAATCTTCATTGCCATTATTAGGTGTTTTATCACAGACGTCGCTATCCAAAGATTTATCTTTTGCTATTTTGTGTTTTTTTAGCATCTCAATTATAAACAATGTAATTTATACGTAAAATATTATAACTGCGTTTAGGCGTTTTAACAAATGAAAATATAATGTATAACACCCGAATTTTGAATGAACTATTTTTTTAAAATTGTGCCATAATTTATTTTTGGGGTAGAATAATAAAATTACCTAAAATCACAAAAAGTCGTTTCATTTTAGATAAATAAAATAAAAAAGAATATGTATTAATAACATAATTTACGTCGTCTCGATCTTCCATATTTTCACCATAAAAGTATCGACATCGTTGTTTATTATTGTTTATGCATTATAATATAATAACCTTTTTACAGACATCATGTCATTTTTCTCTTTATATTATGTTATAAATAAACACAAATATATCCAATCGACAAAGTTAAAGTAAAATACAGCAACATAATTTAAAAAATTATAATAATGGCCTGTTTTATCAGTCATATATTAACAATTAACCGGTACTTAAACTAAAAAAGTCGCGTAATGTTGGTAAACAAATTACAGATTATATTGACAGATTTTGCGCAAATAATTTCAATGGAATTTACGTAGACTATATTGACAGCATAAATTATTTCAACGAGATTTGTGTAAAATGTTTTGATAGTTTATGTATAAATTGTTTCAATAAGATTTGTGTATAAATGTTTTCAACAAGATATGTGTATAAATTGTTTCAATAAGATTTGCGTATAAATGTTTTCAACGAGATATGTGTATAAATTGTTTCAATAAGATTTGTGTAAAATGTTTTAGCATGATTTGTGTATAAATTGTTTCAATAAGATTTGTGTATAAATGTTTTCAACAAGATATGTGTATAATTTGTTTCAATAAGATTTGTGTATAAATTGTTTCAATAAGATTTGTGTATAAATTGTTTCAATAAGATTTGTGTATAAATGTTTTCAACAAGATTTGTGTAAAATGTTTTCAACAAGATATGTGTATAAATGTTTTCAACAAGATATGTGTATAAATTGTTTCAATAAGATTTGTGTATAAATGTTTTAACATGAATTGTGTAAAATGTTTTAGCATAATTTGTGTAAAATGTTTTCAACAAGATATGTGTATAAATTGTTTCAATAAGATTTGTGTATAAATGTTTTCAACAAGATATGTGTATAAATTGTTTCAATAAGATTTGTGTATAAATGTTTTCAACAAGATATGTGTATAAATGTTTTCAACAAGATTTGTGTATAAATGTTTTAACATGAATTGTGTAAAATGTTTTAGCATAATTTGTGTAAAATGTTTTAGCATAATTTGTGTATAAATTGTTTCGATAATATTTGTGCAAAATGTTTTAACATGAATTGTGTAAAATGTTTTAGCATAATTTGTGTAAAATGTTTTAACATGAATTGTGTAAAATGTTTTAGCATAATTTGTGTAAAATGTTTTAACATGAATTGTGTAAAATGTTTTAACATGAATTGTGTAAAATGTTTCAATAAGATTTGTGCAAAATGTTTTAACATGAATTGTGTAAAATGTTTTAGCATAATTTGTGTATAAATTGTTTCGATAATATTTGTGCAAAATGTTTTAACATGAATTGTGTAAAATGTTTTAGCATAATTTGTGTAAAATGTTTTAACATGAATTGTGTAAAATGTTTTAGCATAATTTGTGTAAAATGTTTTAACATGAATTGTGTAAAATGTTTTAACATGAATTGTGTAAAATGTTTCAATAAGATTTGTGCAAAATGTTTTAACATGAATTGTGTAAAATGTTTTAGCATAATTTGTGTATAAATTGTTTCGATAAGATTTGTGCAAAATGTTTTGGCATGATTTGTGTAATTTGTTTCAACAAGATTTGTGTAATTTGTTTCAACAAGATTTGTGTAATTTGTTTCAACAAGATTTGTGTAAAATGTTTTGACAGTTTGTGTATAAATTGTTTCAATAAGATATGTGTAAAATGTTTTAACATGAATTGTGTAAAATGTTTTAGCATAATTTGTGTAAAATGTTTTAACATGAATTGTGTAAAATGTTTCAATAAGATTTGTATATAAATGTTTTCAACAAGATATGTGTATAAATTGTTTCAATAAGATTTGTATATAAATGTTTTCAACAAGATATGTGT